CCACGCCACATGGAGGTTGTGAATGTCACACTAAGGAGTTTGGGGTTTATTTTGAGAAAGTAGTGGACAGGCATTGAAAGACTCTGCCAAGGAATAAATATTTATTTAAAACCTACAGAACAGCATTGAGTATATCAACTCAGCACCATCCAAAGATCCCTTTTTAGAAAACGGGGTCATCAGAGAGAGCACCTGAGATCCATTCAACTTTTCTTTGCCTCAGTCCTTGTCTGTAAAGTGAATGGTGACCATGGTGACTCTACCCTCTGTCTACTGTCCACTCAGGAGGTGAGCATGAGTTCGTGGGCTCCCAGAGATGGAGGTATTGGTGGTAAGGCTACTGTCTTTTTATAAACAAGGACAAAGCATTATATCCAGTCATCTGGGGGAACAGATCTGCTGCCAAGTTTAATAACTGACAGATGGCTGCAGGTAAAGGGGCTGGTGAACCCAGGAGGGACCTGGGAGAGGTCACTGCAAGGACAGTGGTGGGAAGGAGAAAGGCCAGAAGTGAGAATGCCAAGGAGTCAGCTATAGTGACTGAGCTGCAGCCACATCTCTTACAAGCTGCCTGGCTTTGGCCAAGTCACTTCCTCTCCCTGAAAGTCAGTCTCCTCATCTGACAAAAAGAAGGAGCCATCGTGCATTGTGACAATATGAATTGGGAAAATAAAACTCATACTTATTTGCATAGTGCTTGAGAGTTTACAAAGCAGATTACCTGCTTGATCTTCTCAGATTCTCATGGAGAAGGAGGTGGCACATGTCGAGTGCCTGCTGTGTGCCAGGCACAGGACTGGTGTTGTGTTTATATTATCTCATGCCAGCTCCACGACAGCCTTCCTGGATAGGACTGTTATCCTAACTTTCGTGTGAGGAAACTGAAGTCACACTGCTAGGAAGTGGCGCACCAGTATTTTGTCTCAGGATTGCCTGATTCCAAATCACCAGATTCTTCCTCTACAGCATGCTGCCCCCTCAAGTTATGTCACCTCCACAGGTTTTTCCATATCCCTTTGATTTCACGGTCATTTAAGATCAAAATGAAATAAATTACTTAACTTCCCAAACTTCAGTTTTCTCACATGTAAAACAGTTAATATTAGTTCCTATGACATGGAAAATTAATATAATTAAAATAAATTAATAAAAATTAAATAAATAAAACAAATTAAAATATTTAAAATGTTTAGAACAGCACTTGGCACATATGTAATATCACATATTGTACATGTAATATACAGACTAGATAGGCAAAAGTAAAAAAGTATTGGTAAGAATGTGGGACAGTAGGAACTCATACAATTGCTGGTGGCACTGGAAAATTGTATGTTTTGGAAAGAAATTTAAAATATCTAGTAAAGTTTAAGCTGCACACATCCCATAACCCAGCAAGTACATTCCCAGGTTATACGCCTTAGAAAAGTATTTGTACACGTGCACAAGGTGACATGTATAAGAATGTTTGCAGCAGCATTAAATTTAAGAAAAAATACTGTAAACAACTTTATTATCCATCATCAGGAGAACAAATAAGTAAGTTGAGCTACAGACACAGACACAATACAGTGCTGAAAAACAACTGAACTACAACTATACTCACCAGTATGGATACTGGGTGGAAAGCAAATCTCAGTGCATACAGAATGATACCATTTTTATAAAGTTTGAAAACATGCAAACTAAAAAATACATTGTTTAGGAATCCTTACATACATAGTAAACTATTAAGAAAACTAGAGAATGGCAAACACGAAATTCAAGCTGATGATTACCTGTGGAAGGGGGAGATAGGAAAGACAAAGAACTCAGAAGGAATAGATAATATTCTGCTTCTTAAGCTGGTGGGTACCTGGGTGTATTAGTCCGTTTTCTGTTGCTTATAACAGAATACCTGAAACTGGGTTATTTATAAAGAAAGAAAACTTATTTCTTATAGTTTGGGAGGCTGGGAAGTCCAAGGTCCAGGGAACACATCTAGTGAGGGCCTTCTTCTTGGTGGGGAGGCCCTGCAGAGTCCCATGGTGACCAGTGTATCACATGGCAGAATGGCGAGAGCTCTTTAACGTTCTCACTTGCTCTCCTTATAAAGTCATGAGTGCCACTCCCATGACAACCCACTAAAGCATTAACACATTACTCCACAAATGGATTAATCCATTCACAAGAGCACAGTTGTCATGATCCAATCACCTCCTAAAGGTCCCACCTTTCAAACACTCATAGTCTGATTTCCCACCCTCTTTACACTGTTACAGTGGGGATCAATCTTCCAACACATGAACTTTTGGGGGACATTCAACCCGCAGCACTGGGCATTCATTATATTACTATTTATATCTTATTTACTAAATATAATTTATATTGCTGAGTACAGCAGACTAATTAAATATATTTTGTATGAATTAAATATTTAATGATAAATAAAAATGCACCTATAAAGAGATATACTTGAGCAGAGAAATTTTGTCTTATTTACTTCTGGCTGTCCAATGCCTAGCATGCTTCCTTGTTCATGGTCAGTATTTCAAAAGTTGTTTTTAAGTGAATGATCGCGTGAATGAGTGAATAGATAATTTTCAGTCCTTACACACTGATATGCCTAGCATGCTTCCTTGTTCATGGTCAGTATTTCAAAAGTTGTTTTTAAGTGAATGATCACGTGAATGAGTGAATAGATAATTTTCAGTCCTTACACACTGACCTTGGGCCAGATTTCCTTGCTGTTGTAAACCACTGCAAACAAGTAAAGCTAGGAAGTGTAGATGACTCTGTAAGTGCAGGTGACATCCTCAGCATAGCATACACCAGAGAACTTCATTCAGCCCTACCTATTCATTTATCCATCAATTCATTCATCCACTCATTTATACACATATCTAGTTAATAAACATTTATTAAAATAAAATCTAATAGAGATCAGGTATAACTTCTTTAAAGAAGAGAAGTAAATTCCCATCCAAGATAATGACTCTGCATATGACCACATTGTCCCAGAGGTCATCACAAGGTCCCAGTTGGATGGGGGTGAGGGTAGGTACAGGACACCCATGAGATCTTGCAACTCACCTTGGCACACAAATGAAGAGGGTGTTTCCCCTGGGTGGACTCGTCCCGTGATGAACACCACCTTCTGCTCTGCCCCTTCCCGAAGATTTTCTGTAAGATAAAATGAAAGAAGTTTGCTAAGAAGAACAAAGAAGGCTGAAACTAGGGGTTGACGAGTAGGAGGGAGGGGGACAGGGAATGAACTGGATACTTTTATCTTTTAAATCATTAAGTTAGAACCATTAAGACACAGCCATTAGTAGCTAAATAAATTATGTTCCTAGCTACCCAATATTAAAAGACTACACTCCCTTTTCTTGGTGCAACTTATCATATTATATTAATATGTAATATTTATAATTATCTGAGGAAGCCTTATGAATGCAGTTGAATCCCAGATTCACTGATTGTAACCCTAGGCAAGTCATGCACACTTTCTGAGTTCCAGTTTTCTAATCTATAAATGAGGATAATAATATATACTTCACAGAATTGTTGTGATAATTAAACAAGCTTACACATTGCATAGCATGCAATAAACATTCAATAAATGATGGAATTTAAAAAGTAGCTATTTATATTATGGTAATAGTAGCAGCAGCCATTTAACTAGCTCCTTTTGTGTCAGGCACATTGTATACATATTTAAAATCCTTACAGCAACATTCAGTTAATACTCCTTTTATAGAGAAAGAAACTGAGGCTCAGAGAGGTTATATAACTAACTTGCTCAAGGTCACACAGCTAATAGATGGTGGCAGCAGCTGAGATTAGAATACAAGCCCTTGACTGGCCTTAATGAAATAACAGGGACCAGGTTTCCCTTTCACCTTAAACAACTAGAAAACTGGACAAAATGTAGAAAACAACAATTTTCAGACATTGGACAAGAGGCAGTGCAAGATAATCCATGAGAGAAGAGAAACAAATGAGGGGTGTCCTATAATTGCCCTGGCTTTTTGCCTGATGGTCCAATCCAGAACAAATGCAGGGACGGAGGTCTCACTGAGATGCAAGTTCAGCAGGTGGTAGTTACAGGGAAACTCTGTAAGTTCCAGAGAAGAGGAAGCTCTATGGAAAAAGAGTCCCAGAAATCTGTAAAGGAGACCTCCTGAGTCTTTGCTGAACCCTAAGATGTGCATGCATAGGGTGAATCTCCACAATGTCAGGGAAAAGCTGACAAGAGAGCTGTGAGCTGCACAGTTCTCAGGGGTCACACAGGGCTGGCAATTATTTGAATTCCCACCACCAAAGTGGAAGTCCTCATCAATCATCCAGGGAGAATAAGAACTCAGAAGGGCCATGTCTTAGTGGTGAGGCAAACTACTCTAGACCCACTCTAGCAAAGCTTTCAAATAAGTCTCAAAATGATCAAACTGAGCAAAAGAAACTTAACTTCCTGCTATCCAAAGCCCAACCCTCCTAGAGGAAGACAACAAAATCCAGACACTAAACAATATTTATTTCACAATATCCAGCATGCAATTAAAAAAATTATTATACATGCAGAAAAGTAGTCAAATATGGCCCCAAATCAGAACCCAAGCTCCTTCTGCCTCTACAGAAGTCTAACTTGTATAATGAAGTTTAGGTATTGTGCTAAGATACAAAAGCAATAACCAAAAGTGACATTTCCAGAAAGAAGGGGCAGGGGGAGGGTATTCAGCCAGGGCAGAAGAAGTACTGATTGACACACAGCATTACAATGACTTAAAGGAAATCTCGGAAGAAACATTGAGAGAAGCTGGACTGAAGGATTCCTTCTCAGTTAGAGAATGACCTGGAGAGAAGGGGTATAGAAGTAATTAATAGGCTTTCTCTTTCTGAAATGCTGTAGACAGGTCATTTTGAATGTGGTTCATCACGCCAACAGTTGATGTGCCAATGTCAGAGACTAAAGTAAAAATATTAACTCTGTTATATCTGGTTCTAAAGCCTTGAGATTGATTTGGTCTGTTGGGTGACCAGTAGGGGTTGTGGTCAATGCTTCCCCTGAAAAGCAGCAAGAAATATCATGGGAGCGATATACTTTTTCTTAAGAACTCCCTCTGTGCTCAGCTCGGTGCTAGGCACCTTTAGAAACAAAGGGAGAGGGAGAAGGTTCACCTGCCCTGAAGAAGTTGATGGGTTAACAGAGGAGTTAGATACCTGAATGTTTCCTGGACTGAGTGTAAGCTCCACAAAAGAGAAACTATGACTTTCTTGGGTGTATCTCTAATGTTTTTCCCAGGACCGTGCATGGAGTAGGTGCTCAGAAACCAGCTGTTAGATTAATAAAAACTACTTGTATAGATCATGGTTTATAAAGAAATTTAGACATGTATCATCTCATTTAATCTTCATCATGCCTCTGTGAGGTGGACAGTTTTAACCCCATTTTATAGGAGAGGGAACTGAGGCTCCCAGAAGGAAGGGGCATGTCCAAGGTCATGCAGCTAGTCAAGCACCTGGTCCCAGCCAGTGCCCCTTTCACTACCCTATTTGTCTCCTTCTGGATCCACTAACAACAGTAGAAGACCCCACATCTGCTACATTTCTATTTTTGATCCACACAAGAGAGTTAGAGATCATCCCTTTTTGCTGATGAAAATTGTGCTACTGTCTTAGTATTTATATTGCTTTTCCACTTGAAAAACAAAACAAAACAAAAAACCACCAAACCCTTTTTTAAAACACTGTCTGTCTAACACTGACCTCATCAATCCCAGCAGTCCAGAAATGATAAATGGCATTACCGAGGCCCTCGGTGAAGGCTGACTTTATGGATGTCTCCCCTGACCTGGTATCAACTCAATTGCATTCCGAGTTTCTGCTGACCACAGGGAAATGCAAAATGGGCATTCTATTTGCACACTAATTTTACTGAGCCCCTGCGTCTTCATAAAATGATAACGTGGGGCTAATAAAAATCAAGCATCTTGGGTGCTAATATAAGCAAATGTTGATGCAGGCAGGTAACAAATTGCTTTGTCATTTAGGAGGCCGTAAAAGAGCATTATAATCATCTTTAGGCAAAATGGATGGGTCGCCTTTGCTTAGCTTTTAGCTTTCATTTGCAAAATCAATTTAAAGTAATGTAGCAGCTCTGAGGTAGTGCAACATGGGACCCACCCCACCCCCTCCTGTCATCAAATCCCCAGATTCCATGCAGAGCCAATTAAACATACTCTTGGTGGAGGCCGCAGAGATGAAGAAGAAAGCATGCTTGAACAAAGCCAGGGTGGAACAGAATGCAAACACTGAGACCAAGAACAATCTGGAAGGGATGGTAAAATGGAAGAGCTCACAGAGGTTGGCA